GAGTTCTTTGCTTGGTGGTAGGAACTCATCCCTCTCGCACGTAAAACGGGTGGCTTATTAGCGCATGATTAATTAAGTATTAGCTTTTAAAAAATGAATTAATATAAATTTTAAAGCAACTTTTGCATAGAACTTTTTTTAAAAAAACACCTCGTTTAGTAGTTTGAAAAGCATGTACACCGGTGGTGTGCGCTCAACCCAAACATAGTTCTCAAATTGGATACTATTGCAAGAGAAATTGGAAGATAGTGCCAAACCCCAGCCCACCTTAAATACAAAAGGATTAGGATGGCGTCGACTGAACTTCTGCCTTGGAACGATTAGGTGGAAACAAAACACGGTAGCAGCGATTCGATCAAGCCTCACCACCACGCATTCCATTCTAACCCAGTGACAACAAATCACCAGATGACCACTACCACGAAGAGCAACTGTGCCTCACAAGCGACGCCCCATGAAACCCATACATTGTGTCAGCCATCAAGCAAGAAGGCCGTCGAAGATTTACCACAAAAATCGATGAACTTGTTGGGGCCACCTTGCTTGGCATCCATAACCACGAGTACCCGAGGCTAGAGAATAAAGCAAGCTGCACCAACTTCGCCTATCGAGACCAACAAGCAGGAGCTAGGCGCACTCGGTTTGCCACCTCCAGCCGTCGTCACCATGGAGAATGGCCCGACCACCCAGATCCGCCACCTCTAGCTTCGTCCGCTAGGCCGATCAACGAGCAGGAGCCGATTGTGCTGGATCCAGCGCCTCTCGTCACCGTGCAAATCGTGTCGACTATCCCAAATCCATCCGCCTTCATTGCGGGGACCGTCGATAGAGAGGGTGAGCTACACGGGAACCCATTTCCTAGAGCACACGGACACCCACACCTACAGCCACCGCTGTTGACATCATCTTCTCCAATCGCCATGGCAATTTTACCGGTGAGAAAAAAAAAACAAAATGAATCTGAGCTACACGACAAACTACTCTATACTAGTACTAGTATAGGGAGGAGGCCTGACCCTTCTTCCAGCCCTGACCGGTGAAGAACCGTCGGAATTGGAGGGAGAAGAGGGGTCGAGATGTTTGGAATTACTGTAGAGATGGTCCAGACAAGTTGGTAGTGATCACCGATCGATCAACATGTCCAGAAGTTGCTACACCGATAATCAACCGATCGATCGATCGGAACGTTCGTTTTCTAGAAGTTGCTGTAGCCACGTGTCCGCACATACACCTCCTAGAAGCCCTCCATATTCATAAAGGAAGTCGTTTAGAATAATATTTAAGTCAAATCTTAAAAATATAAATCATAAATAACTCTCAAGTTGTTGAGTTTGAAAATATAAAAATTATATGAATATATTTGTCTTGAAAAATATTTTTATAAAAGTATACATATATCACTTTTCAATAAATATTTTTATAGAAATAAGAAGTCAAAGAAGTTGTGTTTTGGAGACCGTGCCGCTGTCTTAAACGACTTTCTTTACGAGTACGGAGGAAGTATGTGTTCTCCTATCAGTAGTATTCCATCCGTCTTATAAAAAACCAAACTAGTATCGAATATGACACATCCTAATACTATTAATTTGAATATACATATATCGAGGTTCATACTAGAATATATTACATCCGGTATTCGTTTTTTATGGGACGGAGGAAGCACGTACCAACAAACAGATCTTCCTCCCGTAAGTTGGCTAGCTAAACCACCATTACCGTACGCGCCACTGAAAGAGGAGTAAGCTTACCCGGCACCGCCAGGTTGTCCACGAGATCTGGACAACGACGCCGACCGGTGCGCGCGTCTTCTTTTGCATCTAGAAACCCAAAAATCGATTGGCTGCCCACCGATCGCGTCACGTCAGAGCGATCATCTAGAAGCTAGCGAGAGCGAAATAGCGAATTCCAATCATATAGGCTAAGATCTCTCCATTTATTATAGGCCCTGTTACCACACTTGTTCTTAATTAGCTTCTGTTAATTAAGTTTATTTCTTATACCAACATTTATTTATCCCCCACAATAAAATAGATAATATGTGACAATAACATGGTCAGTCCACCTTCAAAATTTGTAAGAAAAATATAGAAAACTTGAAAACTTTCAATCCTATCAGAAAGTTTCTAGAAAAATATTTGAAACAAACATTCAACCCTAGCCTTTCATTTGAATTTCCTATAGAATGGACAATTCTATATAGATTTTAGAGAAAAGTTAGTAAGAACTTTAACTTCTTAATCTTTTTTCTTTAAAGTTCTATCTATATGATCTGATTCATGTATTTTTCATACGGTCAACTCAAATTAATAATTATTTTTTGTATATTTTCTGTGATTTACAGTCCTTTATTTTATACTTATATTTCTATCAAATTAAGTTTAATGTTTTTTTATAACTAAATTCTATGTTTTTTATTCCTCTATCTTTCAATCCCCGCCTTTTACTGAAACCGTCGCTAATCTATCTTAAACAAAGCCTGAAGTGAACACGTACTAAAAGTACTAGTGTACTACTTTGAATCTCTAGATGGGAGAGGAAAACAGGAGCACGCTAGAAAACTACGGGCAATTTTAGATGGTTTAGGCGAAAAGGGTCGGTCCAGTCATCCATCTCTCTGGCTGCTGACAGATATAGAGATCTCACAGTGTGAGTAGAGAGCAAGTCAATGAGTACTCCAGTATACTCCATATGCTTGAGATATTCACGTCGACAAAGTTTTGAAACGACAGTTGGCCCCATTGGCTTTTGGCCGCATGGATTTTGACCGCTTCCTACAGGTCATCATCTTACAAGTCCGGCTAGAGGTTGCAGCAGTCACAGGGCCAGAAAACCGGAGCATAAAACCAGCATAGAAATTAAATTGTCCAAAATAACATATTATAAAAACACTTAAATAACAGATTATAATATTTTATATATTATATTCATCACAGAATATAAGAAAGTAAGATAGTATAAGACACATCATACATTCCTATTGTTACAAATCTGAGCCTCTTATCTCAAGTTCTTATATTTTTGGGATAGAGTGAATATATGTTTAGTGACTTAAAAATACGATGTAAAAATCAACTTAAAATTAAGTTTAAATTTTTAACTAGGTTGATAACCAAAAGAGCATCGATCAAGCTGTTAGTATTAGGTAGCTGAAATAGATCGTCCGATGGACCTTTAAAAATAATATGTCATTCTCATATGTATCTCAATCTTATTAAACAAATTGTGCTACAAGTGGTTTTTGAGGATTGAATTTGATGTCATGAATATGCTAATTGTTTTGCTTATTATGTTGACAATCATGGATCTGACTTATTAATGTTGTTCTGTTGTCTTAATGTCAGCAGTCGATATCGTTAGGTTTATAAATGGACAATATATATGCATCATAAGTTGCCACGTTGTTAGTTTTCTTACTATAATACATGTACACTTAATATTCTACTTACTCTCTATCCATCGTTATCTCACTCCCACTTGTAAAACAACAACTATGATCATGTGTATATTAAACTCCAAAAAAAGAGCGACCGATGTAGCAAAAATCATCATCGCGTCTGGTGTAAATTACCATTAATTAATTTATTTATTAAGAAATATAGTACCGCAGACGCTCACAATGCACGCACACTCACTCTTATGAACACACCCACAATTTAGAGAAGCACCAAACATGTGTCATGATAGGATGTGAACGTATAACTCCACCTAGCATGTTTTAAATTTGCACTTACATATTACACATATATAGTTGCATATGTGAATACATTTTACTCCTACGTAATAAGAGTTTAGTGAGATTAAAGATATATTATTGGTCTCGTGTCAGAACGTAATAGCAATTACCTACATAGGATGTGTGTGCATGTCTTTTGTTTGGTTGAAGAACTTATCTTTTTCAAGCTTAGTATGAAATATGTAAACAGCTCTGTAAGTATTAGGAGCCTACTATTGTAGCAGAGACTATTCGTCGCTCCTTTCTACTCTCTCCGTTTCACAATGTAAGTTATTCTAGAATTTTCTATATTTATATTGATGTTAGATTCATTAACATCAATATAAATGTAAAAAATACTAAAATAACTTACATTGTGAAACGGAGGTAGTATCTCCGACCAAGACACACCGGCCGGGTCCTTAGCTGTTGTGTACTTCAAGTTTTCAAGCAGGTGTCAGAAGGATAATTGTCGAGGAGAGTAACCTTCATCGGGAACATTTTGAGTGGGCATAAGGTATTTGAGCTAATCACGAGAAGAAAGCCAAACTACATGCGAAGGATGTGGATGAAGCTCGGCCATGATACCTGGAAGGAATATTCTACTAGAAGAAACCAAGGACCATTCCAACTGCTCTTACAAGCTAGCACAAGCATAAATGGGCCAGATAGCCAATTGATTATACCATGATACCCTTAGGGTTCCTAGTCCAATGAGGGCACCGTTGTAACTTCACATGTATTTTTTCTAGCTATAAAGGCTGACTTAATCATGCGGGGGCGTATCATATCATATGTACACAAGCCCTCACGTGTATATATCGTGGACATGAACTAAAATATATAAAAAAATATAGAAAAATTATACATGTACTTTCATTAGTATTGCATCTACGTGCAAAATCACATCTTCAAATTCATCTTACATAGAGTAACAAATTCTGATAGAACTATAACCTTAAAACTATCATTTTTTGTTATGATAGATTAAAATATAATAAATTTGATATTAAGATTTTACCTGTATGTGTAATACTATACATGTATAAATTTTTAAATTTTTTGATAATATTTGTTATTTGGTGTGTACGATATGTACACATGATAGCTTATGTACACAAAACATGTTCATGACGCAGATTACATCTTTACTGGAACTGTGACAGTGAAAGCCATTTTTCCAACACCAGCACTTTTTCGAATGTTTTCAGAAAAAAAAATTCCGAATGCATTTATATAAAATAGAAAACAATAAAAAGCCTAAAAGAGTTGTCCAAGTCAGGCAGAATGGGATAGGCGCTTCCCGTGGGCGATGACGCCTTTCGCGCTTATCTTTCCCGCTGCTCCGCGTCTTCCAGAGAAGCGAGACGACCTTGGCACCCAGCTTCCGTCACTCGCTCGCCGCGCTATATAAACCCCACATCCTTGCAGCGGTTTTGCCGCAATCAACAAGAACAAACAGCTATCACCCCGCGATCCATTTGCCCAATCAGATCAAGGCGTGTAGATTTGATTTTGGTTTTATTACTCGCAACCTGCACGTTGCCCTCAGTCACCTGGCGGCGGAGAGAGAGATCGGAGATGAGCTCGGTGTGCGCGAGGCCCGTCGGCGTGGGGTACCTTGTCGGCGGGGCGGCGAGCAGCTGGTCCCAGCGGCGGGGGCGTGGGGTGGCGGCGCCGCGGGCGAGAGTGAGGGTGTCGGCCTCGGCCTCGACCGTGGCGCCGGAGAGGCGGGCGGCGACGATGTACGAGGTGCTGGCGGTGGAGGAGACCGCGGGCGCCGAGGAGATCAAGGCGGCGTACAGGCGCGCGGCGCGGCGGTGGCACCCGGACGCGTGCCCGGGGGGAGCCGAGCGCTTCATGCTGGCGCGCGAGGCGTACGAGGTGCTCTCCGACCCGGAGCGGAGGCGCGGCTACGACATCCAGCTCCGCTGCTGCGGCGCCGGCGCCGGGGCCCAGGCGGCGCGGCGGGCCGGGTTCGCCGACTGGGAGGCGCAGCTCGCCGGGCTCCAGTGGCGGGCCGCGTCGCGGGAGACGTGGGGGAGCAGGATGCGCCACCGTCAGCCGTCTCCGTCCTGAGCCGAGAATCGCAGAATTCGCAGTGGCTTTTTTGAATTTTGAATTTGTGTTGAGTTTTCTCTTTTTCTTTCACTTTTTTTTTCCTCTTCTGTAGCCTTCCTTGGGATGTGTATATACCATACGGAGTATTAGGATATGATCTATAGGTGGTACATGGTAGTAGTATAGAAGAATGTACAAATTTCAAACATTTTGAATTCTGATACCTACTTTTTGGGAGGAAAAGATCTTTCTAAAAGAACTTAAGAGGAAAACAGATAATGACATTTACTTAAAGAAAACGGTGGTTAATTGACCAGTTTTCACGCATTCTAGAGAAGCAAAGTAAAGATTAGAGAAGTTGTGTACCGTCATATGGCAGCCTTCAAATAATGGGAAGCGTCACATTCACCTCAGCTCTAGAACATCAGAAATAAACAAAGAGAATTGTGCAGTAATAAAAAAATGAGTACAACTCAGAAATTATGAAGTTTGGAGTGAATCCTTCTTAGATTTTTGTTAAAAAAAACGAATTCTCAGATCTATTGTGGAAATGAAGACAATCTATAATGTTAGTTTAGTCCAAAAAAAAACTGAAAATAGGATTCTGGGACTGATCCATATACCGAGGAATCTAAATAATCACTTCCACAAAAAAAAAAAAATCTTTCCAGTGAACTCCGCAGCTAACATGCTGCACTATAGCTCCAAGGAGCAATGGTATCCGTACACATTTGCCTAAAGAAAATACACTAAAACTGATTTTCAGTTGTTGATAAGATTTGTGAGAAAGTCTACCATTTCCCACATCCGAGCTTGTCATTTGCCACAACCAACGAGTCGCATCCTATCCTATCCGTATAGTCCCCTTCATGATGTTCCTCCTTGGTTTGTACCATATGTGTGCAAAATTTCTCCGCACAGTCCCCTTCACGATGTTCCTCCTTGTTTGTACATATGCATAGTTTCACTAACCAAAGGACGGAATCACACACCAATTGGTAATTTGGTGGTGACTGGTGAGCTGCTTTTTGGAAAAGGATTTTACCGAGCCTTTAGCTTTTCTAGTTTGTAAACTGAAGGCTGAGGCCATTTTCTATGCAAAAGGATTTCCAGTTGATACAGCGCTCAATGTTATGTTCCTGAAATAAACAAGGCTGATTTCAGCGTATGGATGAATAGCAAGTGATGCCATATTGGACAGAAGCAGGTCAAAGCAGCTTACCTGAGTGCAGAGTTGGGGATTTGCTCGACAAGGCATGGAGGTCCACCTGAAGATGCATGGGCCGTTAAAACCTCCCACAAGCTCTATATGTTTGCAGGAACAAGCTATGCGAAGGTAGATAGATGGTTGCCAGAGACTCAGAGTTAAGCTTACCATGTGACCCCGGTGGAACATAAGCGGACGCATTGTTGGAGAACCATGTTTCCGGCAAACCATCAACGAAAGAAGTTGATAGGTCAGCATTAGGCAAAACCGCTTGCAACGCTGTCACATCCATAAACTGCAAAATGGAGTGCTGTTCAGATAACTGATGGGCAAAATGCCATGCTGACCAGCACTACATACAACAGACTGTCCATTTTGAAGAATGTGTTATGCTGACTCTAGGTAAATCAATAATTATTCATTTATTATTAAAGAATCAGATTACACGGTTTTCAGTATGAAAATAAGTACTTCCTCTGTCCCAAAATATAAAAATCAAAGCCTCAAAGCCTCTTTTAGCTCAGCAGGGAGAGGGCCAGTGCCCTATCTCCTGGTCTTCGGATCCTTACCCTAGCCAATCCACAACAAATGCTACTCTGGAAACTGTATTTTGCATCTATATTGGATCATGTGGGTGCCATGTCCGTCTCCATGAGAATTATGAAAGGGTTATCTACTGTTTCATCATCAATACGTCTATTCCACATCGTCAAATTCTAAACATATATTCAGTCCACAGTATTCACCGTAGATAGGTAAGTGACAGTAGCACAAAACGATATTAACAGCTTCCAATCATGTCAACAGTACCATCCATAAAATGCTTGATACTCAAATGCATTGAAAGCAGGGAATGAAGAAATAACTCTGTAACATAGTGGAAATTGCAAATGAACCAAGCCACGGGTGTTTGCTTCCAGTTTCTATCTCTTCCATTTTAAATGTCATTTTTCCCTTTACATATTTAAATATTTAAAGTTGCCAATATGATTTCTGGGGTGCCAAAAAACAGGACTCGGTGGTTTGACTGGTTTGCCATTTTTGGATCCTATTGGCTACTATGTGCAAAAAAGAATAGCATACCATATCTGGAGAATCCGAGTCAGCATCAAATGGAAGATCAAATGGATTCAACGGCATCTGCTGTACAGAGGCTTCTCCCTGTAAACGGTGGCATTATATTCCAGATCCAGAATCACTTCAAGGAACAGCAGAAGTGTACAGATATGCTAAATATCTAAATTACCACGGAAGTAGTAGCAAACAGTGATGGCTCAGGGAATGGAGCAAAGGGTTCGCTAGGAGCTAATCCACCCATGAAAATTTCTTGGGAATCATTACCACGAGATTCCTACATGACGGAAAAATATATTAGGTTGTTATGGAGCAAAGGGGTACCTTTGACGTTATGGAGCAAGTAAATGGATTGCTTGTTGTTAGGGAATTGTTATCAACATTCTTGTGCTCATTAGTTTGCAGCTGAGCATTGGACAGATTGAGAGTCATAGTCTCACTTGCATCATCGAATGAATGCCAGAGCTGCAAAAACACAACAAGGGACACTACTAAGTTCTGGGGAAACGGTTGACACTTAACAGGATAGGTCAAATACCAGAATAGCATTGCAGCAACAGGAAATAACTTGCTTATTCACAAGTTTCATAATTTACTCACCTGCAATTTATTTTCATCAATTGGTTCTTTAGGTTCTATAGAACTCATTAGTGAAAGATCTGGCGAGGCTTGTTGGGTGCTAACACTTTTGGCCTCAAAAGCACTCCAAGCCTGAAGAAATGTGAAAAATACTATTTATAAGTTTAAATGCAAAAGTGGAATATCATAGTAGTGTGGCACAATCAGATTTTTTTTTTTAAAAAATGAAAAAATAATTCTCGTGCATTTGCAAATGATACATGCAAAAACACAATGACCATTTTTTTGAAGAATGGACTGCATTTTGTTGCATGTATGTCCTAACATGAGAGCATATGAAAAAAGTTTTTTCTAGAGCAATGCAAATATTCCTCACCTGAGAATTACTTGCATCAGAGGATGTATATTTACAAGGTACATCAGACTGATCAGTCACAGAAGCATTATTTTTTGATGTCTTTGAGCTCTGGAGCCACGTTGGTTGATCATTATTTGGTTCAAACGAAAACAAATCACCACTCAAAGCATGTTTATCCATTACGGAAATGCCAGAAAGCCCAATCACTCCAGGTTGCTTTTCTTCTGGTGGTGTGTCAAATGTAGCCCACCCAGCATTGTCCATTGATGGAGCTGCTGTGAGCATTCTATCAGTGGATGGAGTTGCCGGAGGCATGCTAGCAAAAAAATCTACTGGTTGATCCAAACCAGTTACAGGTTGTTGCTGCGCAACAGGCTCATTAAGGAGATCTTTCTGTGCAATGTTGGCAACATCAGAGAAAGCTGTGAAACTTGGAGTAATGCAATCCTTCGTTTGCTGAGTTCTATGAGCAATATCAGATTCAAAAAACATATCAGCTAAGCTTGATTTGCTTGATTTTGTAGATGACGAATCTATGTTTCCTGTTGATATAGTTCTCTGCAGAAAGCAATCAAAATTAATACATGTCTTGTTTGGTATGAAAAGAAAGGAAAACCAATTATTTGTTTAGAGTGGAATATTTACCACCTCAGATTGAGTGATTCCACTAGAAGCCTGTATGTTTGATTGATTTTGTTGCATAGAGGGGCTGGAACACCCTTTATCAAGGAAATTCGGTGAGTGTGGTGTCGTTCTAAATGTATTACTGATGCTTGACCCTGAGCAGTCAGAAATTCTTGGTCCAGAATTCTCATTGGCAAATCGGTCTTCTGACATCCTCTCATGCAGGCTCTGTGGACTGTAAGCAAATCCAGACATCTTCCCATCATGCCCCCTATCTGAACCAGGTTTCCTAGTTAGCATCACGGATTGCTTGCCATTGCGTCTTTCTTCGTATTGGTAATCATAAGGTGGGCTCTGAGAAAATGAATGGTACGAACTAGCCCTTCTATGCTCTTGTTCATTGTTCTTTTGATTCTGCATTGATGGAACATGAATTAGTTAAGAGAGAAGCATTTTGGCAGAATATACGTTGAGAAAATGAAAACTTAAAATTTCCAAAGAATCACAGGAAAAAAAACATGAATGAACTTCTATGAAAGTATTCATTGTCATCTACGCATACTGAAGCAGAAATTCAAAAGCTTTGTGATAACAAATGGACAGGTAAAGAACAGTTCTCATGCAGACTAACTAGATGTTGTAAATTAAGCTAAACATACCTGTTTATCTCTTGGAGGCCTTTCAGAAAACCTTCCACCAGCATACCTTCTCTCCACATAAACAGCTTTTATGAATTCCCTAAGACTGTCGACATTGCTGCAAAAATAGTTTAGCGTAAGCATGTACTGTGCCCACTATATATGTATTCACAAGACAAAGTATGTATTGGTAACTTTAAAAGAGAAGGATAGAAGGATGCCCTTGAAATAATAAAGAAGTAGCGATTAACAAAGCATAAAAGGTGAAAAACAAAAAGGACAACAAAATGGAGGTGTTCTCAGTGGCTAACGCCATACTGGTAACACTATAGTGACAAAGCTTTTTACCTGCTATCAGGTAGCCTCATTTTCTGAGCATCAAATTCCTTTAAGAACGATTCTCTGGCTCTCTGCGTCATTCAGTTTAAGAGTCATGACATGAACCAAAAGGGGGATTTCCAAGCTCAAACCAACCCAATGGATCGCCTTACTTGATTCCCACCGTTCTGGAGGGCCTCGACCTCTTGCGTGGTGAACGTCGACATAGATACTGACTTCACACGGTGCGTGAACTCACGGCTAAAAATTCCATGAATGTGTCAGAATAACAGAAGAGAACATATAAAGCTCCTTCACAAGGAGACCAGAACTTGACGACTCTGAGCCTCTGACACGGTAAAAATTTTCACTACAATAATAAATGAAATGCTATGTATGCTAAGCACGCTAATCCCACAAGACTGAAATAAATAAACTGAACTGATGAACAGGTCAACTGAACTCTCGTCGCATCGACAAGCATGAACTAGAAAATAACTACGAATACTATGTCCGCTGGCACATGGATGCAATACACTACACAAAATTAGTCCAAAATTAACAGAGGCGAGAGCCCAGCACTCACTGGATGCCGCTGCAGGAGATGCAGACGAATGTCCAGAAGCTCGTGCACACGTACTGCGGCCCCTGGATCAGAGTTCCAGCACACACGGAGAGGGTTCAGTACAACAAGGAAAAAAAAACAAATCACTCCGGATCAGAAGCACACACACGAGAGGAGATCGGCGAGCAGCTGCGAGTGTGGCGGAAGGGAAAAATCCTTACGAGGCCGTTGCAGTTGATGCATCTGCGGTTGGGCGGCAGCTTGAGGAGCCCCCTCACGACCCGCTCGTTCCTCTCCTCCTCCTTCCTGGACGCCGCCGCCGCCATCGACCACTCCCCCCCGCACCCGCAGCCACACAGATCGAACGACGAATCCCGCGATCCCGCAGCCGCCGCCGCCTCCTCGGAGGATTGGATCGCTCCCTCCTCCGTGGAAACCGGCGAGGAAGTGAGAGGGCGTGAAACGGATGCGCCGGAGAAGAAGGCGCTGGTAGATGGCGGCGACGGCGACGGCGAGAGGCGCCGGTGCGTTTGCTTGAGCCGGCGACGCGACGCGATGCGGTTGGGAATAACGGGTGTGGAAATGACTAGTAGTAATAGCGTGGAATTGCAACGGCTTCTTTAATTTTTAAAAACCACGTTTAGCCAGACAGCCTATCGCTAATCCGCCCGCACATCTCGTTAAGAGCAGGATAATAGCAAACTATAAGCCAAGCTATAAATATAATTTAAAACAATAAAAGAGCAAAAATAAAAGTACGGGCTACAGATTTATAACCAGTTACAGCACGAACTATAACAGTATGGGCTACAAATTTATAACCAGTTGCAACACGGACTTTAAGATACGCGTGTGTATTACAGGTGAGGACCAGACATTAATTATACAGTATATATTTATAGATAGCTATTGTATAAATTGGCTATTAAATTGACTATAGATAATTTAGAATACTAAAGTTGCTCTAAGTACTCCTCTCAATTTCGAAACGGAAGGATTTTTTTAAAAAAAGTTAAACAAAATTCCGTGAAAACCCTCTAAAGTTTTAGCGTTTTGAGTAAGCCATTAGAGCAAGGATAATAGTAGAGCTTACTTCTTACTATTAGCCCATTTTAAAGCCAACATATATAATAGATTAGTTATAAGGTTGGCTACAACTTTCTTCTTCTCTCTATTTCTCACCTATGCATTTAATGTATTTACCTAGGAGCTTGTGTTAATCTAGCTCTTGCATGAGAGCCAACATCCTTGATTTTTTGTTATATCTCTCCTCCATCTAAGTTTATAGTAGGTTTATAGCTAGCTATTATACTTGCTCTTAGCCTGATTCCTCTTCCAGGAAACTAAAAACGGTGCTAGCCTTAAGGGCATTCCCAACTCAATGACTAGGATGGTGTCCATAGCATTAAATAAGCTGCCACCTAGATTGAAAAATGATGTGACAAGTGAATAAATGAGGAAAGAGAAGTAAACAATATCTTGCATGAGACATGGTTTCTACACAACATCCAAGACATTATGTGAGATAAGTAGCATTAAATTTAAGTATGGAATAGTAGTGTTTGCATTGGAAGAGTAGTATCTGATGTGGAGTTTATGGAAAGTGAATAAATGAGGAAAGAGAAGTAAACAATATCTTGCATGAGACATGGTTTCTACACAACATCCAAGACATTATGTGAGATAAGTAGCATTAAATTTAAGTATGGAATAGTAGTGTTTGCATTGGAAGAGTAGTATCTGATGTGGAGTTTATGGAAAGTGAATAAATGAGGAAAGAGAAGTAAACAATATCTTGCATGAGACATGGTTTCTACACAACATCCAAGACATTATGTGAGATAAGTAGTATTAAATTTAAGTATATAATAGTAGTGTTTGTATTGGAAGAGTAGTATCTAGTACTAGTTTGTTGATGATGTGGAGTTTATGGAAACTATGTTAGTGTCTTGGGTTGGGAATGCCCTAACATTAGATCATGTAGTAGTAATAAGGTCATTAGCGAAGATACCGAGGAAACGGACCCAAGCAAACAGAGTACAGACAGAGAGCTTAATCCCATATTCCCCTTGTCCCAAGGGTGGATCTCGCTTTAACGCTTTTGCCGCTTGAATTAAGCGACACGGATAACATGTGCCTTAACATCTCGCTTTGCCAAGCCAACCATGCCCGGTTGGCTTGGCTTGGCTACTCCGCTGGAGAACGCTGGTGGGCACGAGATTTGGCCAAAGATTAGGTTGTTGAGCAGCTCTACCGATGCCGGTAGCCTCCGCCTGTTGGGTAGGAGTGTGTGGTCACCGGCTAGGCACACACACATGGGAGAGAGACGCCGTTTGCTGTTGGGTTTGATTGTTTGAACTGCCACTCCAGCTACAAATACCGTCCGCAACCACCAATATTAATTTAAGTAGGAAGGTATAATAATCACACATTTCAAAGAGGTTGCGGAGGACCGCGTGGTCACTCCTCGGTGAATCATTTTTATTTTGGTAAAAATTGTAATAAAGAGGTAGAAATTAACAAAGTATAAAAGGTGAAAAACAAAAAGGACAAAAAAAAGGCGTTCTCAGTGGCTAATGCATATTGGTAACACTATAGTGACAAAACTTTTTACCTGCTATCAGGTAGTCTCATTTTCTGCGCATCAAATTCCTTTAAGAACGATTCTTCTCAATTCCGAAACGGGGGAACTAAAAAAACCTGGGCTCCCATCGAACGGCCTAATAAGCCCAAAAAAAGCCAAATTTTAAATTTTCAAACTTAATTTTGAGATTGATTTTGAGATATTTTCAACGTAATTTTTTTTTCAGTATTGGCTTTTAAGTCACTAAGAACACACACACACACACACATATATATATATATATATATATATATATATATATATATATATATATATATATATATATATATATATATATATAAGTTTTACCTACAAATTCATTTTTATTCCCTAATAAGCCGTTTTGGCTTATTAGGAAAAAAAGCCAAACGATGGGGCCTCTGAAAACTAAACTAAATTTCCGTGAAAATCCTGTAAAGTTCTAGTGTTTCGAACGAGCCATTAGCCTGATTCCTCTTCCAGGAAACTAAAAATGGTGCTAGTCTTAACATGTTGTGTCCTGTAAGGTCATTACCGAAGACTAGCTGGTGCAGGCACCAACTGAAAGTCTGAAATTACCTTCTTTTGGATCTAAAAACTGACTTTATGATCCTTAAAGGTTCCTTGACCCCATTATCCATAGTCGGTACCCGTACACGAAGCCCGGAATCGTCAAGGGCAGGATGCCGATCTTCGGTAGTGTTTGGTTGCTGGAATGAGATGAGATGGGATGGGACGAACCCACTTTTAGGGGTGTTTGGTTGAGGGGTGGGTGGGATGGATTGGTCCTAGGAGAGGAATATTCCTCTCAGATCCGGGACCAATCGATCCGGGAAAAAGAGCCGGACGAACTCGTCTGCGACCGACGCCGCCTCATCCGCGCCCGCCGCCGCCTTGCCCCCGTGACCGCCGCCGCCTCCAGGACCAGCCGCCGCTTCGTCCGCGACCGCCTCCGTCTCCGCGACCGGCCGCCGCCTCGTCTGCAACCGCCTCCGCCTCCACGACCGACTGCCGCCGCTCGTCCGCGCCTCTCCTCACCTCCGCCTCCGTGCGCGGCCTCCGCCTCATCCGAGACCGCCGCCGCCTCCTCGTCCGGCCGCCGCCTCGTCCGCGACCGCCTCCGCCTCCGCGGCCGACTGCCGCCGCTCGTCCGCGCCTCTCCTCGCCTCCGCCTCCGTGCGCGGCTGCCGCCTATTCCGCGACCGCCGCCACCTCCGCGTCCGGCAGCCGCCTCGTCCTCAACCGCCTCCGCCTCCGCCTCCGCGACCGACCGCCGCCGCTCGTCCGGGCCTCGCCTCGCCTCCGCGACCGCCTCCGCCTCCGTGCGCAACCGCCGCCTCGTCCGCGACCGCCGCCGTGCGCGCCTCCGCGTCCGGCCGCCGCCTCGTCTGCAACCTCCTCCGCCTCCGTGAACGACCGCCGCCGCTCGTCTGCGAGCTAGCCGCTGGGAGCCAGACGGCCCTAACGGTCCGTGAAAGTTCTCCATCCCATCCCACCTCAATCCCTTCTACCAAACAAAAAACTATAACCATCCCTTACCACAAACCAAACAGACAACTGGAACCATCCCATCCTAAAAAACTGGGATAGGTCTAACCCATCCCACTTTGTCCCCAAACCAAACACACGCTTCAGTGATGAGGAAGGATGCCGATCATCAGTGATGAGGAGTCCAGGATGGTGAAGGACTCCATCCATAGATTGTGTTGGCATCAACCACTACACCTCTTTCTACATGAAGGATCCCGGGCCATGGAACCTGACGCCGGTCAGTTATCAGGATGATTGGCATGTTGGGTTTGTCTGTGAGTTCCAAAGATTCCACCCCGATAATTCTGAATTTCTGATACATAATTCAGTATGTTGTACTACTCACCTGTTAACTGGATCAGTTGCTCATGCACTCACCTGTCTTCTCCAGATGAACGAAATGGCGTGCCCATTGGAGCTCAAGTAAGTGGCAGTCAATGTATTGTACAGTAGTACGTTAAACAGTTAGGACAAGTTGAATTTCAAGCTAAACCATCGCACTTCAATAGTTGAATTAATTGAATTCACACAGGAAAACTCCTACTGGCTTTACATTGTGCCATGGGGAATCAACAAGGCTGTGACCTATGTAAAGGAAACATATGGAAACCCTATGATGATCCTTTCTGAAAATGTTACTAATTCGGCAATTCTATTAGAATTATCCCTGTTTCTCCTAATAATAATCTTGTTGACAATGAAAAGTAGTATTAAACAAGGGTTACTTTATGATCAATGTTATGCTCTTGCAGGAATGGACCAACCTGGCAACTTCAATATCACCCAGGGTGAGCATGATACTGCAAGAATCAGATATTACAGAGATTACATAACTGAGCTCAAGAAGGTGATAGACGATGGTGCCAAAGTGATTGGATACTTTGCTTGGTCACTGCTCGACAACTTCGAGTGGAGGCTCGGGTACACATCCCGTTTCGGTATCGTCTATGTGGAGTTGTGGACTATAGTCTATAAGACGTTAAAGAGTTACCCCCAAGGACTCAAGCGTTCTGGTTCAAGAACATGCTCTCCAGAAAGAAGAGGAACTAAAGTATGCAGACTAATTATCAAAGCCTCAAAGGCTTCCAGCCTTCCACTGTCAGAATTCAGAACAAAGCTCACTCTAGCGTATGCTCATCTTAGCACGTTAGTAGCTATAATTAAATGTGAAAAATAACCAATGTGGAGATTGGTAGCTTCATTAGCTTCCGCAATACAAGGGGAAATAAATGGAGTGGACTTCATTACAAATTTGTTCATCAGGACCAAAGGCTGACTAAAGGGACTATTCAAATTATCCAATAATTCAGTTTCAAAAAAAAGATCCCCATAATTCCAATTCAACAAACAGATTTCATTCCCACAGAGAAGTTCAGATAACATTTCACTGCAAAAGAAGTGTCTGAAAATGGAACTCATTATACTTTGAGGGTTCCAGTTCGACATACATTAATATAAAGCATTAAAACGTGATGACATAAAATC